AGTCGCTCGGCGCGATATCGGGAGGAGGCACAAAATGTGCGAAGGGGTCCGGCACACGCAGCAGCGTCAGAGCCAATTGGCGGTACGAAAGTGCAGCCGTCGGTGGCATCATCGCGCGCGCGATGGGTGGCTTGTACAACTCTTTTACATGGAATTCCCTTGGGGACGCGTCCACCCCCCGTCCATCGAGCCGTCCCTAAAATCCCGCAGCGGCCTCGCTGGGCCAGAAAGTCGGCCCCGAGTGCCAGCAGCAGCCTCGTTGAGCCAGAACGTCGGCTCGCGAGGTGGGTGCTAGTATGAGCCCGATCCGTCGCAGTGCTCTTGCAGAGGCGTTAGTGGTGCACTAACCCCGAGAAACCCTTCGGCTCACTCCTCATCGCAAACCCTGTCAGCAGTCCTCCTCCGGGAATGTACGTAAGAGCCACATACATTGAAAATACTTTCCCTTCCTAAAGTGCAACTTTGATACAAACCTCTCTCAAAGAAAGTAAGAAAGTCTCCGCGCGAAAAAAAATCATTCCGCAACAGCCAAAACCGACATCGATCGCTCCCTCCGACACGAAACGGTCTTCCCACGACGCCGGGGGGGTGCGATGGAATGGCACGAGGAGGAAGAGGCGCTGACCTCAGCCTCCATTACGGATGAGCAGCTGGCAGTGCTCGCGGGCACCACCGATATCGCCCGTGCCACCCACCTTCAGCTCACTGTTGACTCGGTGAGACTGCAGAGCGCCCAACTCCATCCGCGCCTGGAAGGAATGGCATTGGCCGAGCCCTGTACCCATTCGCCTCTCTAGGCGTGCGTACCACTGGGCACAGTCGGCGAACGAATGCCGGAGCTGCAGCACCTCAAGCTCTCAGGCTCGGCGCTGCCGTCGATCCGCGAGCTGGGAACGTCGCTCCGGCAGCTGCAGGTCAGTGCAAAGCACGTGGGCGGCGCCGCTCTTATACGAACTGCCTCTCCGGACGGACCATTGACCCTCGTGCCCCCCCTCCCTCGAGGCCCGCCACGTCCGGCGGGTCTGAGAGGACATGCCCCTCCTGCAGCACCGCCTTCTCGAGCTCCGCGCCGCGCAGGTCAGATCCCTTGAGGTTCACGAATCGGCCGAACGGAGTCTGCTCCGCCTCCTTTGCTCCGAACAAGGCGAACACCTTTGCCTGCCTGACTCCGTTCGGCCGCCGTTCACTGTGTGCATTGTGGCTGTGAATGTACCCTCAAGCGATCGCCTTTGGAACCCACTACCTGTCCACGCCCTTCCCTCTCCACGCCCTGTCCGCGGCCTGTCCTTGTGACCTGCCCGCCGCCGACGTGCCGAGGGGACCGACGTGCTGGGGATGCGCACGCCCGCAGGCGGGCGGGGGCTGTCTCAAGGGGCTGTGAGCAGAAGGGCTGTGAATAGAAGCGCTGTGAGCAGGCGGACGGGAGCTGGCTGCTCAACGGAGGGAAGATGTGGATCACCATGTGTAT